TGTTGGTATGTCGCAGTTGTGTCGCAGAATAATTTTTACGACTAATAGTCGCAGTTTATTCGCCTAACAAAAATAATTATTTAATGGGCGACGGACCGCGATTGACCGAATCGTACATCGAATCTCCGAATATTCATCGTAGAACAGTCGCATACTTTAACTCATAATTTTCTCGCCCATGCTCATACCTGTCGCCTATTTAGCGCATAGTTCATCGCATATGTCTTCGTACATTTTGGGGTGAAAAACTTAGCTTTTTATTGGGTGGTGTGAAAAACTTATTATGACTTCAGAACGGGGTGAAAATAACTATTTCCTCTTCGAGAATTATATATAAGGACAATATAAAGAAAAATGCACAGTTCTCAAGAAAGTACGGGGCTACTATATATTGTTTCCCTAAAAATGTATCTTATGCAAGATGAAAATAAATTATTTACCCCAAAATTCTCATCTTCTACCAATAAATAAATGAAGAAAGTTGAAATCTATGTTGCTCAATATTATCAAACAACATATGTTGGTTACATCAATGTTTTAAATACCGTACTCGCCGGTAATACCGGTAATACCGCATACCTGCCATTGGTACGATACAATTACACTTAAAATACCGGATTTACGGTTATACCGATTTGTATCGGGATCATACCGTTAAAACCGCAAAATACCGGTCTCAAATACCTGTCAATAAAAAAATAATAATAATAATGATTTTTTTAATTTTAAATATATAATTTAAATTGGTAGTTAAAATTTTTATTTTTAATCTCATTGAAAAGTTGAAATTAATGACTATGGTCATTTATTTTTTTTACTTTTTTGGCCTTTGTATTATATATTTTTATGTATATTTATATATATCATTATATTTGCTAATCCGGTAATACCATCGATATTATCGGTCCTACTGGTAATACCGCGTATCGGAAGCTTGACCGGTATGACCACCGATACAGTATTTAAAACATTGGGTTACATGATAACTGTAAAAACAAAAAGTTGGTTAGTTCTTCTATTCATCAAGAAGAAAAGAAAAATAATGGTAGCGACGACGAAATTTCCGATACCAGTTATCTCTTTCGATAACCATCATCGAGGATTAATATAAATGTTGTAGATTTTTGTTTAATTAATTTATTGTATTTATAAGAAGTATATATGATTCCTAAAATGTTGAAAATTATTAAAGAATTGTTTGAAATTACTCAAACAAGAGCACAAAATAGTTAAAATATCAAAAACCCAAATTTTGACAAAGAATTATAACACACACACCCTTCAATTTTCCTCATTGTTTTGAATGGTCCCATGTGTGGCTTGCATCATAAATGACCCAATGCTTGCATAAGCAGCCACCCATTGAAAGAACACAAATGTGTATCCTTAGCTTTGTGACAGAACAAGACAACTACCAAATATGCATCATCACTCATAAAAAGCCTAATCAGCAAAGAAGGCCAATGATCAATATAACCAAGAAACAAGAAAAAATTTGAAAAAGAAATAAAAAAAAAAAGGAAAAAAAAATAATGATAATGTCCCTCAAAGCCAACAAAGAAGCCCACTATATTTGCCTATTTGGCCCACTACGAGCCCATCTTCCTCCCCCAATAATTTCTGCACGTGCGAATCCCCACAAATAATACTTCATGCACCTCTCAAATCTTAGTTCTTACATAAAAAAAAAAACTCATAAGATTTCCTTACATGTAAAACCTGTACGCATGCCTTGACCCTTCGGCGTGGGATCGAGTTATTAAGGGAGATGCTGCCGGTTCCATTACGAAACCATTCTGTCGAGGTTTGTAATCGCTAGATCAACTATTCTCAACAGTTACATGATGATTTAACGGTTACGAACCCCGACGGAATGACTAAGTAACGGGACCATAGCATTTCCAAATATTTCATTAAAAATGTTAAAAATACACTGAAATAAATTGTCACAACATTAATTTTCCTAACAAGAACCTTTTTGCTCTCTTTCTCTCTCACTCTTCATTTTTTTTTTCCCTTGAAAAGGGTAAGTTGAGTTTCACAATTAACATAATCTAGCTAGGCCGACATAATAATCCCTAGCTAATTACATTTCATTTTTTGTTTTGTTTTTTTTTTTTTTTTGTTTTCAAACCTAGCTCATTAATTAATTATAGTTTGGCTGATTAATTTCATCAAGATCATCAAGAGACAGAAAGACTTGATCCAAGCAAGAAAGCTCTTCCCCGTCATCGTCGTCGCTATCGCTGTTCTTCTCGTACACACGACAAATAACCCATCGACCGGAATCCTGTCCATATAATTTTTTTTTTTTTTTTAAAAAATATATATATATTTATGATTCCTCAAGAGTAATATATAGTTTGTGTACTTACAGTCTTGGAACTCCGTCTTCTTGAAGAGGATCGAGTCGAGGAGGCAGAGTCGGACATAGTGTATTCCTGCATAATCCAACTCGTTCGAACGCCTTCCGAAGGCTCGCCGTAGAAGAAAGAGCTGTATTTTTTCGTGCCGATTTTTTGGCCGGTGTTTGAAGAGTAAATGGGCTCCTCAATGCCCATGACTTGCCAGTACCCGCTCGCCGTGATCCTGCTCTGCGTCCTCCGGCTGTAGAAGTACCACTTGTCACCTTCAGCCATTGCTTTCCCTACATGCATATAATTTACATATATGTATAAAAAGAAATTATAACTATGAAACATGTAATTTAAGGAATGACTAGTATAAAAAAACACTAACAGAATGATTTTGTAACGGGACTCTAGTCATTCCCTGTAATAATTTAAAGTTAATAATAAGAAAAATGAATGAGAGTCGTTTGTGTACCATCTAAGTCCCAAGGGTCGTAGGGATAAAGATCGAGATCCGGGATGACGTCTGGATGGCAAGGAAGAAGGGAGGCCTTACGTTGGAGGAAATGGACGACGAGCTCTTCGTCCGTCGGGTAAAATCGGAAACCTGGTGGCAAGTTCAAGTTGTTATCTCCCATTAATGAAGCCCACAAAAAAAAGGATTCCCAAGAATTGTATAGAGAGAGAGAGAGAGAGAGAGAGAGAGAGAGAGAGAGAGAGAAATTAAATGGTGTTGATAAGGTTTGGGTTTGTGGTATAAGGTAAGGTGTAATTGGAATGAAGTTGTACAAGCATATGTGTGTATATTTGGTGGATGATAATATGATGATGGCTATAATGGTGAGGTTGCAAGTGATATTTATACTGAGAAGAAGGGGAGAGAGAAAGAGTGTGTGTGTGTGTGTGATAACGTGAAATGGAAGGTGTGCGTGTAATTTGTTTTTGATGATCATCTCAAGCACACCACCAATAAAAGATCTCTCTCTCTCTCTCTCTCTCTCT